TTTATAGCTAAAAATTAGTGTAGTTAAAAATTATTGAACGTTTTGAATTGAGTTTTTTTGACTTATAATTGAAAATTTGCTTTGTCATTCATAAAAAATGTAATTAAAAAATTAAATACAAATATTCTCATATGTAAATGAACATATTAAATATTCATAGTATTATTTTTAATATTAATTAATAACATGTTATAATATTTTGATATTTCAATAAAACGTTAGAAATTTTTGGTGTTCAACTACTGCGGCTTGTCAGAGTTGATTGTTCAACTAATACTCCTTTCATAGTCTATCTTAAAAACGTTGTCAAAATATAAATATTTAATTGTCTTTGTTATTTTGCGCTTCAATAAATTCAAAATTGTTTATATTTTTTTATGAAAATCACTAATTTTAACTAATAATTACTTCTTTATATATATATTAAAAGTAAGGTCAAATACGTTTTACTTTAAAACATGTTCAACTACTGGGTACTTTACCTTATTAATAAAATAAAAAATGTGAAAAAAATTATATAAAACAGCTAAAATAGCACGATAATGCGTACACGCCTCTAATGGGATAAATGTACACAATATATTTAAATATACCGTCTTCTGGTTTTTGTTTTATTTTATTAGTTGTACATAAACGACACTGAATTACCTAGCCATTCGCATTCGGTGACCTATAATTCTTCCAAAGAATTAAAAAAAAAATTTTAACTCAATTAATGCATTTTTTCGCAAGTTATATACATGACGGACAGGAAATTTTTTTGACCTATTTTGATGTTTTTTTTTTCCGTTTCTATTCACTAAATCAATTTTAAAAAAGTGTCAAATTAATCTCCATTAAATTATCTTGACAATAGTATGCAAAACGTCTTGATTCCGTGAACTAACAAGACTATAATAATAAAAATAGTTGCCGAAGAAAATATTTCGATCGTAAAGGACTCTCTGATGCTTCGCATTATGAGTCGTGCAATAAATATATAATATTCAATTTAAAAAAAATTAATAATAAAAAGGATATTATAAGCTTATTAAGCGAAACATGCCACTGAGAATTGTAAGGAACAGTGACATCATTGAAATCATCATTGTCATCCATAGTAACTCTGCTGTCAATAATTATTGAAAGCCTGATAACTCTTCTATGCATTATCTGAACTCTGAAAAATATAAATTATAAAAAAATAAAATTTATTAACTTGTATCTGGGTGTTTTATGGTTAAAGTGAAAGAATAATTAATGCAATAAGTTAGGTTGGAGATAATGGATCAGGGTAAGTCTAAAGTTTCTACTAAATTTAAAGTTTCCCAGAACACGATCCTAGTAAGCGGAGCGATTCATCGTAAACATACACATGAACATTTAAATACATCGACATACATAAGTCATACATAAGTTGGATCATCAATAAGTTGAATGGATCTGGGAAATAATCGGTGAAGTAACATAAGTAACATAATAACGTGTAACCAACACCATGGTAACCTAGGACAACAAGCTGTCAGATGATAGGGAAACTTTTGATCAATAAACGGGTGACTGGAGTTTGGAGAATGTTTGAGGTATATGCCCGCTTAAAACTTTCTTCCTCTTCCTCTTCCTCTTTTTCTTCTTCTTCTTCTTCTTCCAGCTGTGCAGTACTTAGACACGTACACACTAAACTCATTTATATCGTATTTGTATTTGTTACTATTTAAGCGGTGTATATAATGCCGTAGTGAGGGTGGTGACGCCGGCACAACGGACTTTATTTCAGAGGGCAATGGATCGCAACTCATGAGTAGTCTAGTCAGTCCGCGTGTACCTCCCGACAACGATTCATTGTTCCTTTTTAACATTTCGTTTATTTAGTTAGCTATTACTTCATTAGTTCTTTAACCTTTTCAAAGTTATAATTAAAATTAATTAATCTTCATTTCTTCTTTTAATAATTTGTATTTTAACTTCACAATTATAGTTTTAAAATGTCAAGACCGACTCGACAATTGTCGCTCCAGCCACGTCCGACCCAACGAACGCAAATCCGACGACAGAAATCGGCAGATGGAACCGGATCAGGAGCCACCATTTACGACGCTAATCAGCGCGGGAAGAAACCGTGGCCTGCTGAGAGGCCCAAAGTAAGAATCGCGTGGTCATCTTCAGGACTGGATGAAACCAAAGTAGAGGTAGTCGCATCGCGAATCGGAACATCAGCGAAAACCCGCGGATTGTCCAATTCCTCGCTGATGAATTCCGACAAGGCGACTATTCTGTACTCGCGCCAGGAGCTGGCCGAGAGATTGCGTCTTGCGTGGAAGCAGAGAGAGGCCAACAAGTCGAACATAGACATTTTCCTGGCCCACGAAACGATTGATGAGTCTTCGCGCTGCGACTCGAGATTGTCAACGATAAGCTGCGATGTTATGAAAACTGACCAGGATATTTTCACTCTTGGAATCTCTCCTGATTCCTCGGTCGACTGCGAAGAGCCGGAAGGTGTTGATGGCTGCAAGGAGAAGCTGCTGGACGCCAGAGCTAAAAGAGCTTCTTTCCAATCCGGGACAAATGTCGCTTTTATGGGACCAATCAATAAACTCATCAAGGAAGGATCATCAGACAGAATTTTGGAGAAAAAGGAACGCGCTGTTACGCCAGATTGTAAGGTCAATAAAAGGACGAACTCTGCACCTCCCTCATCTCAAAGACGAGGATCTCCAATTACTCTGGGACACTTGGGTGCAGGTCGTCCAAAAGTTAACATTGTGATAGACACTCCGAAGATTTCACGCCCGAAAGATGCAGCTAGAATTGACAGAAAGGACACTGGACAAAAAGCTCCAAGCCTTTATGAAGAGTCCAAAAGTGTCTCGCCCAATTCCAGCTCTGGGGAGAAAATCCAGGGGAAGTTCGTGACCAAAAAGCGGGCCAGAACTGGAAAACGGAGAGTTGAAGAGTCTGGGGCGAAGAAAAGCGAATGTAAGCAGAATCCTGATGTGATTACTATGGTGTCGTTGGTCAGTGACGCTGACAGCGACTCTGAGGTTGAGAAGAACTCTCCAAGGGATGACAAACTGGTGAGACAGCTTCGCAGCAATTTACCTACCACGCCGATAATCAAGAGCTGCTCATCTTTGATGATCAACACTGAGAGTCTGAGCGTTTTTTCTGGTGATAATTGTCTGCTGCCTCCCAGAAGACCTCTGAAATCAGGTACCAGTAATTTTAGTATATATATTATGTAGTTTTATTGATTGATTGATTGAATTAGTTGAAGTTGGCATAGGTTATCAGCTAGAAGTGAGTAGTTTTAAATTTTTTTAAAGTGATAGAGAAGTTTTAAATTAGTTTTTGAAAGTTTCTGTGAAATGGGCGTGTGCAGTTTGTTTTTTGGTATGTTTGCTAGCCGTGGCGCTCAAGAAGAGAGCGGGGCAAAGAGAATGATAAGTGATTGAGAATTTTTGGAATTTGCATGTCTTCCGTCACAGTAACGCCTTCGCGGTATTAGGTGATTGTCGAGAAGTGCACGAAATAATCCTAGAGTGGTGGACTAATTAGACTAGACGATACGACATGCGAGCATTCTTGTTTCTCACAACAGATATTGCATATCTTCACGCTTTAACTTGTGTTAGATTCTCAATCTAAAAACATTCTGAAAGAAACCAAACTTTTTAATAATTCAAGCCTATAAATGAGGACTCGTTAATACTTTAATTGAGTTGCGATAAAATTTTTTTAAGTACTCTATTATTCGGTGTCGAAATGTCAATCTTCTTCAATTGATTAAAAAATAATTTAATTACTATTTTTCAGTTTCTTTTCAGCAAGACTCGATCGACGGGGACCTGATTCGTCCGAGAAGTGAAGATAAGAAGACGACTTTTTACAACGAAAGCCTTTCTCGGGTGAGCGTTAACCAGCCAGAGCTTGGTGCGACTCGTACTTCGCCACTCGATGAAATGAAGCGTCCGTGGCTTGAAATAGCTTCTTCTGAGCTGGCGACATCTGCCGTCTTCTGGAAGTCCTCCGAAGAGGATTGTCCTCTGACGGACAGAGAGAAGAGATGTTTAGTGGTCCCCATCGGCGACCCGCAGGACAAAAAAAGAAAGCTGCTGTTGCAACGCACCAAAAGTGTGCCATGTCGAACGTAAGGATGCTTTTTTATTTGATATTAAAATTGATTTGGAGATTCGTGACAAATTTTATAACGTCCTTGGCCCTAAATTCAAATCAAATAATTTGCATAATACATTTTTGCATTTTACATTACTCATTACATTTAAATACTGTAAGTAAAATGAAAAAAAGAGTAATTCAAGAGAGTTATGAGCTCGGAAAAAGATAAATAATAAAAATTTATTATTTTGTTTAAGATAAGCCGAGGTACACGAATGAAATTCGATTCGCGGATGATTTATTGGCTAGCAAAAGTCAATGTGAGGAGTTTAAAAAAATATTAATATGTATAGATGATAAAAATGAGGATGAAGTAGGGATAAAGGAGGGCATCCAATACAAATGCGAAGGGCAAATACGTCGCGGTACCATCTAGTATCTAGTTCCTCAGACTTATGTTATATAGACACATTATTATATGTACATATATGTCTATATGTATTTTATGGATGCATATATAAGTACATGGGAACAATCTCTTTCTCTTGATATGATGCCTAACTTTATTTCAATTGCTTGCAATCTGTCTTTTTTATTTTTAAATAGTGTCAGGATCAAAAGGATGATAAGAGAATTATTTTATGACAGAACGACAGTAGCACGCAACCCTTTAAACCTTATAGGGTTTTTATTTCCTGAATTTTATGATGTACTTCAATTTTTTTGTTGGCTCTTTAGTTATAATTTTATTTTACTGTGCTTTTAGGAACGATGAAAACCAATTGGCAATGCAAATCGAGGCTAAGGAGCCCGCGGTTACTACTGATAAACAAACAGAGTTGTCTTCCATTCAGCGAACTGATACCGCCGTTTTTCCTCAGACTATTTCTAAAGTAAGTACACTCTGTGGTTATTTATTGTTAATGTTTTTTATTGTGATGTTAATATTATTTATATTTCTTCAGATTATACAGAGGAGTAGCTTCGACGAGAGAACTATTGACATAAGAATGGAGAATGAAAGTCAGGCAGAGCCCGTCTTGGGGACTACCAAAGAAAAGGAATGCTGGCATCTTTATAGAAGGATGTGCGATAAAGGAGTCTGTGTTTCATTTGATACCGTTCTGAGGTATTTGTTTTATTTTTGTTTATTATATATTTATTAGGAATTAATTGATTTGATTTGGTGTTGAATAGGGGAATGCTTACACCAACGGAATACAGATTGAGAAGAAGAGAAATCACATAGCAAGAGGAGAAGGAAGTTCGACAAACTTCCTCAGAAGATAGTTCTAATAAACGTTTACAAAAATGAAATATTTGTAGGCATAAATAAATAAATTTCATTAAAAAATTTACAATGGTTTAATTTTTTTAATTTAATTTTATTAAGTTTAGTTTTGGAGAGAGAAGAAATATAAAAGTGGTAGTTATTGTAATTGTTTGTTAAATTTTTTAATAAAAACTAGCAACCTCACTATGTGACTGCCGTGACTTGTGAACTGTAAATAAATAAAATTTTGGTTTATTAAATAATGACTTTTGTTAAATTACACTGTACTTTTTTATCTATTGACATTTTTAAAGATATAAGCTCACCCCGATGTTACACTCATCAAGAGCTTTCATTTGAGTACCCACATGTATTTTGATATATTTTTCATATATTCATATATATAAATATATAAAATATATGAAAAATTGATGTGAGTACTCAAATGAAAGGTCTTGATAAGTGTAATGTCGGAGTGAGCTTATATCTTTAAAAATGTCAATAGTTCACAAGATACAAGATACAAGGTCATTTCTTAATTATGTATTTCGAGATAGAGCATTTTCGAATGCAGCCTAAATACTTATTACCATAAATTGATTATTGGTGAGAATAATATGAAGCCTTGAAAAGGCATAAATTCAAGTCAAGACCTTTGCAATGACACTAAATTTCAGTAAAAAAATCGATTTTATCATATGGCTATCCAGATTTGATCATATGAATATCCAAAAATTCTTAATAAAAAATGATAAATTATTAATTCCGAAAATTTTTAATAAAAACTAGCAACCTTGCAGTCACTATATGACTGCCGTGACTTGTGAACTATAAATTAATAAAATTTTGCTTTTATGTACCTGAAGTTCCGAACGTTCATTTATGAACGAAAATCAAAAAAAAATTTTTTTTGCTCCTGAAACTGAAAATGGTTTTTCAGTTTCGAATAGAGACAGTGAGCCCTAAAAATGATATATTAGCTCCTCAAAACACAAAAACCACCCCTCCAGCCACCCCAAAAACTTACACTTGGAAAAAAAAATTTAAGATAAAATCCTTCCAAGGGCCCTTTGAAGCTGGCGATTTTTTATAAGACTCATACAATACCCCCACACAATATAAAAAACTTTGGGGTGGCTGGAGGGGTAGTTCAGGGGCAGCTAATGCCTTGGTGATTTTTTATATGGTGTGGAGGTGTTGTGGGAGTCCTACAAAAAATAGCCAGCTTCAAAGGGCCCTCGGAAGGATTTTTACAGAATTTTTTTTTAATGTCATAAGTGTTTGGGGTGGCTGGAAGGGTAGTTCCGGGGCAGCTAATGCCTTAGTGATTTTTTATATTGTTTGGGGTATTGTGGGAGTCCTACAAAAAATCGCCAGCTTCAAAGGGCCATTGTAACGATTTTTTCTGAATTTTTATATAATAAGAGTAAAACTTTGGGGTGGCTGAAGGGGAAGTTCCGGGGCAGCTAATGGCTTGGGGATTTTTTATATTGTGTGGGGGTATTAT